GAGAGAGAGAGAGAGAGTACAATATTACTTCGGCCAAACATATGTACGATGTGGGTGTATTTCTTGCGTAACGCATCGCACCGGAGCGAAACGCGACTGACGCGGAAGTAACTACGTCTTCGCGGCAAAAAAATCAAGGGCCAAGTACCTAAGATATGAAATTATTGAAAACCATTGTGTAGCAAGTTCCAACAGGACAAGGGTTGAGTCATTTTCAACTGTATCTTACGAAAAGGGGCTGAACGAGTTCTACTTGACATACACTGTAGCCACATGCCATGTCCTTGACAAACAACAGATCATTATGACTTATAATAATTATGGTTGGCAACCTAAAGTCCTTGCCTACCTGGATAACTGCCAACTGCAATCCAGTACGCCTCAATTCCACTTTGGCCATCTGATGCTAACCAGTTGGCAAGGATTCCTTTCCTGTCTGTTTGCCACACAAAGCCGTCTACGACTTCCTCCTCATCGCTTGCAAGAACCCCCACACGGACCTTCACCATCTGCAAGTATTGATATGCCATACGTAACTTTCTATGAGCGTCAAAGTGACACAGCACTAGATACAGACTACTGCAATTAATTTTGATGGTAACACCGATAGACCTGAATGAATTATTCAATCTGCAAGTTTGTTTGTCGATAACAACAGAATAAAAATATTGAGGTGCGTTAGATGACATATTTGATATACAGGCAAATGCAGAGGCAAAAATGAAAATAAATTTGTGAAATCAAAGCCACAAGGGCCAATTCTGGGCACTTAACTAACGCTCGCGATAACAGAACAGCATCTTGTAAGTCAGGGACATCGAGATAAGGCAAGTTTGACTCAATCACTTAACAGGTGAAGCAAGGATCACAATGTGAAGGCAGACGGAAGTTTTGCTCATGTTAAGTCGAAATACTAAAAAAGCATGGGAAGTTCTACCGATGGTGGTGTAGTGTCCAGAACCACACCGTCAGTATCATGCACTGATGACAGTCCAGCGCGGTTAACGGCGGTGACCCGGATAGAGTAATGTCTGCCTGGCCGGAGGTTTAGCTGTGGGCTTGTCCAGTTCACCATTGAACCTGGAATGAGCTGCTCCTTGCTGTAAGTTAGATGGAATTTGGTGCGGTTATTGATGGATAGGTAAAATTCGAGCCTTACAATTCTGTCAATTCTATCCTATCTATTATGAGTTACTAATAGAAAATAAGTTTTAAAAACATACCTGTCACCCAGGTACAAAGTATGTTTACTTCCGCCATGAGTTTCAAAAACCGACATTTTGAAGTGGTCCAAACCAGATTCCTTGTCTTCAAAAACCCAGTTGGCAGACAGGAAGCTAAGGCTGGACTGGATACAACAAAAGGCTTCAATAATTTCTGTAGGCATTTTCGGCACAACGGAATAATTAAATTGCAAACTAACCATGATAAAGTAAGAAACATCTAGAGAGATATTTTGAGATTTTTATGGTCCCCAGAAAGAGGGGATCATTTCCGGACAGAACTTAACTGTTACAGTACATACTAGGCAATGGTCAGAATCAAAATAGTGCCACGATTGCAAATAAGAAACGACGGACCGTCGCTATCCAATTTTGCTGAAATAAGGAGGAAGGCAATATTCCTCTTCCATTAAATGTGATTTTTTTTTCATTCTTCTGGCAAAATATCCCTCGGTTTGTTCCAGAACCATATTTGACGTATTGTAGTTATACATTGTGAAACAAATAGGATTTGCATTAAAAAAATTGTAAATTGAAAGTAATACCAGCCATAGCTAAGGTACCACCCTGACACCACTACGTCATACATCAATACTGTCTTCCTTTGACTTATGTGACTGACTGAGTTTTCCATACTGGGTTGATATACACGTCGAAATTTACTTACAGAAAACTTCCTATTCTTCCCGGCTTCTGGTCCATCACCAAGGAAGTGCAGGACAGGGGGCGTTGTGTCCACCACGAAACCGTCAGACTCTACCGTGACGTGGGAACCGGCCTTGTTGGTTGCTTTCAGTATAGCCGCCACGGTGTCGCCATGGTGTAGGTGGAAGTGGTGCCAGTTGATGTGATCTGTGTTACTGTTCATATCTTCTGGAGGATGTATGATCTCCCAGTCTGTTGTAACATTCCCTGCAATGAAAAGTTTAACAAATCAAATGCAGTCTTTAGAATCAGTATTTGATTCCACACAAATAATAATACATCAAATGAAACTTACATTTTCTCGATGATAAGCTCAACAAATCTAAACGGTACTTAATAAACACCAATACGTGTCATTTTCTTGTTTTTCACGGCACAGGGCATGTCACTACAAAACCCATGCAATGGTTCCACATACATGTAATATATAACAACATAATGCCATGGCCACCTTTGCTGGCATGTCGTCTAGTGACGGAGACAGAGTAAGAGGCTATGTCAGACTCCGGGTCGCTGAAATCTCCCCAGTTTGCTGATACTGTTGACTGTTCGGATGAGAACTGCATGTCGGCGTCTTTGTTGAGGCCATCTTTGATCCAACCCATCGTCGGAGGAGTAGTATCGACAAGTACTATAAATGCAAAAAAAAATGACTTTTAATTAAAACACAGAATGTATTCGATATAAATGTAGATTGTTACGAAAAATGGCAAAGAAATGGTTTAGGGGATAATATTTTTCAACATCAAATACAATATGTGGAAACTTGTGAATATGTGACTAGCGTTCGTATTTAGATGTTGCAATGTTTCGTACCTCCATCGGATGAAACACTGGCGTTCAAATGTTTGTGTCCGCCATTCAGAGCAACCAGTGTGGAGTAGTATGTAGTATTGTGGAGTAACGGTGTGGACAGCTGTTTACAGCTGCTGAAGGACGAATGGGAGATGACTTCAAACGGCACGATGTCATCAGCATCAGGGATGGTCCCCACACCCCAGAGGTAATAGGCTGGAACCAAATAGTGTTCAAGACAGTATGTAAATTATATGTTTTCTATTTGTATGAATAAACAAAGCTCAATTGTACATCCATGTTTGTACAATATATAAGAAAAACACAACAAAAAATGATATATTATCTTATATTATGCAATTTCCGTAAGGGGAAACGTTTCTGTATTTACGTAACTTCGTTTATAAAGAAACAGAATCCAGAAACATGGACCTTTCATTGGGCATCTAGTAAGCACTCGACACTAAGTTATCACTGAGTTAGCACACAGCGCTACAATCCATGACGAATGTCATGAATGCCATGAATTACCTATTCCACTCTCCTCGTCATGGAAGTCTCGCCAGTTTGCACAGATCTCACTCTGATCATTTTGAAAGTTGATGTCGTGCCCAGCTGCTGGTCCATCAAACACAGAACCTGCTGCAGGAGGGCTGGTGTCTACAAGGATCGGGCTGTCGGCGTGACCTGATTTCCGGAGATCCACTACACAGAAAACATTTTAACTGCCATGATGATTCATTTCATTCATGTATCCAGCAAGCCAGAGTAGATATTTGAACATTAGATTCAAGTATGCCCTTTGTGTCACAAACGACAGAACACATTTATTATAATATTTGTTACAAAACTGCTCGATATATTCATGTTTCGTTAGTGCATCTAAATGATGTAACCCTATGTCATCCTGTGTCATATTTCTTGTGTCACAAACGACAGAACACATTTATTATAATATTTGTTACACAACTGCTCGATATATTCATGTTTCATTAGTGCATCTAAATGATGTAACCCTATGTCATCCGGTGTCATATTTCTTTTTGCGATGTTGCAGAAAAACAACGAAGCTAAAACGGAAGCGGCGCGCTCTTTTACATTGTACTTTATGTTCCATAGGGCATTATGCGAAATTATTTCGCGTTTAAAAGACTTCAAAAGAATCTACATAAAGCTAAAAGGGTGCAGGTATGGGTTTACCATTGTTGATAGCTCTGATTTTCACCCAGGCAGGAACTCCATCCGGGATGTGGTAGTTGTGTGTGATGTGTGTGGTGTTGGCCTCACGATGCCAGTCCATCAGATAAACGTCCCGCTTGCTTCGACCAAGACCAAGGTCAACCTCACGGATCTTTGACAAAGGGTCGCTGTATGGATAGATGCATTGGATTAACATTCATACAGTTTGTTTGAGATTTTTATACGCAATGTAATTTCTATATTGTTTATAATAAAAATATAATGTTGTATATTCATCATCAGGCAAGTCACTGATACCTAAGAGTCCTGGGCTAGTACTATTCACCAGTTTTCCAACCCTAGAATGCAACGCGAAGACAGGGGTCTAACCTCATTTGCATAGGACAGGAAGGCATCGAAATGATCTTAATGACGTTAAACAACTTTTCACTGTGTTTTGAGGTGTTTGGGCATTTTATGCTCAACATTATTTAAATTACTATGGGTCGAATCTGACAACAAATAGAGAAGTTTTAGTGTTCTTTTCAACATAGAACATGTGGTTTGTAACGTTACAGTATCATGTAGCGTTACCACTATAACGTTACAGACACTTCATTCCCAAAAAAAAAATCATTCACTGTTTGTCGTCAGATTCAACACATAGTAATTTGATAAACCTTGAGCATTGAGCAAGCTGTTTAACGTCACCAGGATCATTCCGATGCCTTCCTCTCCTATGCAAATGAAGTTTATTTATTGATTTATTTATTGGGATTTTCAGAAAAGAAACTGGGAGAAGTCAGCAAACAGGATATAATCCTTTGACAAGGCTGACTCTTCCAAACAAATAATAAATAATAAAAACATGAGTATACAAAATATGAAATATAAGAATAACAATGATAATAATAACAATGATAAAAAATGATAATGATAATGACAAAGTGGCTGTAGAGCGGAAAAATAATGGATGGCTAAGTTTGTTAGCAGTTAACCCTACCTAGACCGGGGGGGGGGCTAAAAGTGCCCGCGGCAACTTTGATGTCATCTAGCATCTGAACGGCTAGCCGTAGAACGGCCAAACTTGGTGACTTTTCCTAGAATATTGTTGGCAACAATTCTCTATCATTGGATTAAGATAATAATTTTTTGTGTTGCCATGGCAACGGGTTTCTGACAGGCATTTTTTGCTAAATTTAGTACTTTTTGTTTCAACAATAGAATTTTATGGGTTTTATGTCAAGTTACTCATGGTTTCTAATATTAATAACACCCCATATAATTTTATGTAAATTTTATCATTAAATATGCATAATTTATGCTAATTTGATGACGTCATTGGCCAAAATCCAAGATGGCGGACCATATCATTAGAACAGGTATATACAGGTTATTTTCATTAAAATTTCATCAAAACTTCCATTTCTTTTTCCAAAAAAGGTTTAAATGAAGGCCTTTAGTATGTCTACGATGTATTTTAGGCTTTATCATGAAAAAAAACTATTTTTGAAAATTCAAGATTGATGATCCAAGATGGCGGATATCTTAAATATGCATGACGTCATGTTATGACGTCACCGGTGTTGCTATGGGCAACATAAGACTTAGTACACCATAATATTCTGTCATAAACACTTTTGGTACAGTTATGTTGGATACCATTGAGTTTTCAGGGAAAAACCTATTTAGACGGTTTTGGCCAATAAAATCACATTAATGACGTCATAATGACGTCATATTACATCATAACGACATAAAAATTGTAGATATGATAAATTTTCACTAGTACACCATTCTCTGAAAATTTGGTGGTCATACGACATACCGTTCGCGAGTTCTTAGGGGGGGGGGCAAGAGAGCCCCCCCCCGGTCCCCCCATGTCAAAAAAAGCCCGGTCTAGGTAGGGTTAAATACACAAATACCATATGCTCTGCCAATGTTGTATGCACAATACATCAAATGCTGCAGTCAATGCATGCATGATTTCACCACTGTAACGTAACTACTCACACCCTATAATTGGCTGTTTCCCCTTGTTAACAGTGTGATGAACCTGGATGACCTGAACCGGCGCGGCCTGTACCTGTCGGACATCCCACTACACGACGCCACTCGGGACCTGGTGCTGCTGTCGGAACAGTTTGAGGCGGAGTACAAGCTGACACAGAAGCTGGAGATCCTCACAGACAAGCTGCAGCAGACTTACCGGGAGCTGGAGGATGAGAAGAAGAAAACGGACAGGTCAGGAGAAAATGTGGTCTTGTGGTTGACTCAGAATCTGAACATTCGAAATTGTCATTCATAAAAGGAAAATTTTAT